CCTGCTGAAATAAGAGGGGAAAGTTCATTCAGTTTCACATTTTTTCTATGTAGCTTCCTGCAGAGGTTCCAAGGACCGCTTCATTTGAGGCGTCTCTGGAAAAATTAAATGAACTGTCTGTTGCCAAGCCCGCTGGTGGCAAGAGAAGTAAGGGGACACCAGGGTCTTAGATAAAGATAAATCTGAAGATCTGGGATAGATCTCAAGATCTGCCACACTGGCCTAGTCGCAAAACGTTGTAGCATAACTCGCTGAGGGAATCATTTACCCCTTGGGAAGGGCAAAAACCATGGCGAGGGGCCCCAGTCTCTAAGGGAAATTTGCCTGGTAAGGGTTGGAGATGGATAGGACTCACCTACAGATGCAGGATCCTACGAGATGGAGCAGCGTTCACAGCCACAGCCCCGTTTTAAAAGTACTTACTCCCTGAGCGTCAGTGCGCATGCAGGGAGTGACATGATAAAATCGTGCCTGGAATCTCAGAGCTGGCCAGCAGAAGAGCAGAGCGGAAGCAGACTCAAGAGCCCCACAGTTCCTTTGGACCCGCGATCCCGGAGGAGGGGAAGAATCCATGCAGAACTGCAGATGAAGAACCCGGAGGGGTTCTCAGCCCCAGAGGCCTCAGGCAAAGAAGACCAAGGTGATAGTGGGACCCCAGATGCTAACTGGAGCACATAAAAGGGGACATGTGAGAGTCAGGCACCCAGCTCTGCATAAAACTGAGAGCTGGCTGGGGTTACACCTTCATTTACTTTTGTTTGTCAGACTACTAAACCTATACAGAGTCGCAATTGATGCCGCCTACTGCACTAGCTTAAGCGGGTACACAAGGTATGGGAACAAAACCCATTTTGAGGATGATGTAGGGGATATCAGGTTTTTCCCTTCCAGAGATCCCCTCCTCAGAGAAGGACTTCTTTTTGTCATAATTATGAATCCATCCAAATCAATAACATAGAGGCATTATTCAACAGGAAACTTCGGTTGCTAAAACTCTAAAACATACCAAAGACATTTAAGATAGGTAGTCAATTTAAGTGAATCAGTATATTCTGCTCTCACCTGCTGGTATTATGCCAAAAGGAACTGGTGCTCTGACAGGGGTAAGGATGTAATCTGTCTCTTTCCCAGCATCCATCTGAGCTTTTAGTAGTAGACCATGGGCTACCTCACTGATGGATCCATCTCCACCAACACAAACTACCCTATAAACAGAGAATAGATACAATGGTGTAAGATAAAAATTTTGTCTTATACTATAGTTTATCAAAAATGAAACAAGGCAATTGCCATGTTGTGATTATTTTGAAAACTACAATTCAAATGCCTAAAAATCACTCTGTCCTTAGAAAAAATATATATGCATATCCTCCACACACGTACACGTATTCCAAACCAGTTTTTAAAAATGTGAGTTTTGTAACTGCACACACACACACACAATATCAACCTGTGTACAGTTGATAATGAAAAATGATTTCCTATGTTCAATACTTAGTTCTATATCAATCAGGTATAGAGTTCAATACTTAGTTCTATATCAATCAGATTTGATTAATCTAATCAAACAGATTAGTAAGCACAAAATCTTGACTTGCAATGGCCATAAAAATACACTGTAATACAAAGTGATTTTCAATAATGCTACTAACCTAATCCAAAACCGTAATATATCAAAACATAAAAAAGCTGAAAACTCAGAAGTCATTAAAATTAAGTATGAATAAGAAAATGTAATATGCTATGATTACTAAATGTTATGCAAATGCTGTAATTGTTATAAGGCACTGATTTCTACTTTTTGATACAATTATTACAGTTCAAAACTACCAGCACCCTGATCATCAGGGATTCTAGTTTTATGTTTGCTACCGAAAACCACAGGATCTGCGTTTTTCCACAATCAACTGAATGCATGCTTGCATACATGGTGTCACATTTGTATGGAGGCTTTTGCCATCTCAGAGGCCTAACTATTCTTAGGCCAAGATTACACAAATAGAGTTACTTAAAGGTGGGCAAAAACATGAATATAACTAACTTGAACAGCACAAATGAACAAGAAGGGCAACATTATGTCAACTGGTACCACAGTAAATTTTTCCAGGTCAGGTAAGCTCAGTTCATGGAGAAGTAAGAGCTGTGAACTTCAATGTCCTCAGGCCGAATGGGCACAGAAATGAGGTCTAACACTTCCTCGTAGAGTGCTCTAACCATCAGACTGCTATGAAAAAGGTACAAACTACCAACTCCCCACCCTCATGTTTTTGAGCAACAGTTATCATGTGATTTGATATGTGCTCCAAGGACACACAATGGGGACCTGGGTAGTGTTTAAGTGTTTTCCCAGGATCACATTGATCACAGCTAAGTGTAGGAAGAACTTTTGAATCCACATGCTCGAAGTGGGTTGGTTCCACGCAGGCACAAATCACAAGTGTAGGGATCTCTGTAGTCTAAAAGTGGGGGCACCAAATAAACCTGGCCATCTAATGTATTTTTTAGCCACTGGACAGAGCCAACATGAATCATTCTTTGAAACTCATATACCTAAAATTAATGTAAATCACATAAGTCTCATTAAAGCACTTATAGAACCAATCTGCATCTGGCTCTAAAACTATATCCACAATTTGGATACTGGTATGGCCTGTGTGAAACTTACATTGCTGAAATTTAATAATAACTACAGAAACGTAATGCTTAATGGGAGTAACTTTGCCAGAAGTTCAAATTCTGCCTTCATATATTAATACAGACTGACTCCAATGAAGTCAACTGTCACCTTGATGTACGCCTAACTGTTGTGCTATAAGTTCAAAAGTAAAAGACTTAATTACGAAAACAGAGAGATAGTAGCATAAAAATAACTACAGCTATGTGCTGTCATCCTAGAAACATCAGTTTTCACTGCTGCATCAGCTATTCTAAAAACTCAACACAGATGTAAGTACTTCTTATTTCTGCTCCTGTATGTATTGCTTTGGACTTCTGAGTAAAAACAATTATTGCATGTAAATAAATATCTAACAACTCTAAGCTATGAATTAAGTATCCAAGATAGTTTAAATAGGTGTGGAGCACTGTAGCCAGGAGACTAATCCGATAGTACATGTGCTTACGATGAAGGATAAAGTCCTCATCATTTTCTTAGACTAAGCCATAAACATGCTTCACTGTTTATTACTTGACAATATAATGGAGTTTCACCAAAATATTTTGGACAAAGCTAAAAACCAACTAATCCACACTCTATGCAGACACTTGAGGGATATTCCAGGGTATAAAACCCTACTACCAGCAATCCTTTGCATGAAGGTACTTAATCATCGTTTCTGGAGTAGGTAATTAAACTCCCACCTGCTGTGGCTATAGAAGAGAATGCTTTTGTCTGTAAAAGCACTGCTGTGGCTAGTGTCTTCTCTGTTCCTTAAACAGCTATTAAGCAGTTTTACAAAACAAAGCATATGAATGTTGATGGCAGTTTCTCCAAGATAAACATATTTTAATAATAAAAATGAGTTTTCCAACAATCTTATGAAACAAACCAGACAATCTTATGAGGATGCTTAAGACTGAAAATAAGTTATATTTACTTTAGAAACATTACTGAAATCTGGGCTTGTTCCATATTTGTTCTATTGTATTCTTAAAACTATATCCAGTAATTCAGCCAGTTTTACAATAGTAAGTTATAAAAAGGAAAATGAATGTTGCTATATTATTTTAAAATGGATTTTTCTACTTCTTTGATATTCCCCTTCTCTCATAATTTTTTCTTAATTCGTTCTCTGTTGCTGAACTCATATCACTGATTTAAAAAATGTTCTGAATAAAAACGCCCACATCAAAACAATTACGGTGCTATAACAAAAAACTTTTGAACATACTTCAGGCCTAATTGTTAGTGAAAACCCTGGGGTGTATGGTCAAAACTTTTTGGTTCTTCAATATCAATGTCTGAAGGATTATGTTACATTCACCACTGTCCTAATCTTCAGTAGACAGTCATGGTTATGTATCAATGAAGGACTTCAATATGGGAACGCTTTAAATGAGTTTCATCCTAGCATAAGATGCAAGAAATTGAGGTGTGTTTTTACGGTTAATCTTTTGTCTTTTATAATATCCCCCACTGTTTGTTGACAGACATTCAAGGAGGGGAAACTATCCCCAGGACTTCATAGGGCAGTGACAAAGACAAGTAGCTAGAAGTTAACAAAGGGCTGCAACAAAATAGGGAAGAGGGCTGTTTGTTTGTTTTTGCTTTTTCTTCTTAAATATCAATTATCAAAACACACTTTGTTTTGGCCAGTGACACTATCTTTTGGTCTCGTGGGCTGAATACATGGCATCAGGCCAGTCTACGGGCCAGACTGGGATGTGTCAGAACCGAGCCAGTACTGCCTTTGCCTGGTCCTGCTTTGGCCTCGTGCCCTGATTGGCCCTGGTCAGCTCTGCGCTGCCCCATTCCAGACTGCCCAGATTGGCCTCACTAAGCTCTGCTAGGACTAGCAGTATCACAAGTGCATTAACTTCATACTTGTTACTCCACGGGGTCTGCCACTGCTGTGAGGAGGAGTATACTCTAGCAGCCTGGATAAACATTCACATTTTTTTTTAGTAGGGAAAAAGGGGGATACTTTGGATTGGCTGAACTGAGAGCAACCATGACACTGCCAATTTTCTAAAAATCAGAGAAGCAAACAAACAATGTTGAAATGTGTCCTAGACCCTAGACAGATCATTTGTCCTACCATACCAGCTATTTTAGAGTGACAAAAAGCAAATGCCCACAAGTTCAAGGTGTTTGTTACACTTAGAAAAAGTGAATAATCTACCACAGAAAGGGTGGGTCCGTGAAGAAGGAGCTGCTGTTTCAAATGGCAATTTCTTTGATCTGGGAACCTTTTCCACAACAAATTTAACATGAGGACAGATCTCTCTGACCCTCAGTATCATGCAGCAGTCTGCCTACTGCCCATCCTCCAAGGGAGAGGGAGAGAGGGAAAATGGCTGGTTCTGCAGGGAGCTCTAAAGAGCCAACCTGCAGGCACCTCTATCAGTCGTTGTCACCGATCACTAATGGTGAGGGGGCTGCAGTGGTGGTAAAGGCTGACCAAGACATCTCCAATGTTAGGTCAGCCTTTGCCATCCTGTGTGGCCTTCAGGCAGCTCTGTCACTTGCCATCGTAGCACTACAAAAATAACGTGTCCAGAGCCACCAAAAATGTATTTAGTTCCCAGTTCATTACAGTTAATGTTTAAAATGTAACGAACCATAAGCTTCTGATGCTGATTTATCTTCTGAACCTAGGCAAGATCTGAGAATGTGTCTTGGTATAGAGACAGTTATTCAGTTCAAGCTATCCTATCAAAATAAAAACCTCTCTCTCTCTCTCTCTCTCTCTCACACTTTTCTAAAACCGTTTTTCCCTTGTTACCCCCATCCATCTGGCACAGACTTACAGTTTCCATCTCACTTGAAGAAAAAGCTAGGATAATAGTCGATAGAAACACGGCAGGTCAACAGAAACACCTCCCTAATGGCTCTATCCCTTGGCTTTCTCTTTTCCAGTATGAGATTTTTTGGAGCCAAAAGAAAAAGGTTACCGTATACCAGTTCTTTACTGACACATTATTTCTGATGCTTCATTAAGAAACATTCACCTCTTAACTCCATTCTTCAGAGCAGTTGTAACTGCTACTAAAAAGGTTAGTACAAAAAACAAAAAACAAGTTACGGAGAAGAAATGAACATGCAAGAGAGCAATTGGTTTCAATTCCTAAGTGAAAATATCTGAAGATCATCATACTAAAAGACTGCTTGTGCTGGCCAAAAAGCATAATTTCTTATTCATAGAATATGCTGTTTTTGTGAATTTGGTTTTTGGTACAACTCAGACTGAAACATTTCAAATTTCCAATTAAATGGAAATTATGAGGAAATTTAATTTTGAAAACATCAGAACAAGGTATTTCCAAAACTGAAAAGTTTATCTGACCCTGCAGCTAACAGAAACATTGACCTGAACATTAGTTTAACTGAAAGGCTGCAGGACCCCCAGGATCTGTGGCCCTATAGGCGAGCCCTACATCACAAAAAGATACTAGACTACAAGGATCAGAATTAAAGCCTTCAAGGATCAGAACCTCAGCTCTAGAGCAGAAAATTCCAACAGGCCTACCTACAGCCATGGCTCCCTAGTGTCCATCCTTGGAACTGGGCCTCTCAGGGCTTTTAGACTTCTGGATCTCTGGCAGAGAGCTTACAAGTTGTAGCCTGGCTATGTGCCATAGAACCAGATACCTTAGGAATGCAGGGTCCCTAGGCCTGTGGCTCTGTGCTCTACGGCCGCTGTGGCTCTAGGTAAGCTGACACAGGACTGGGGAATTCTATGCTTCCAAAATCGCTACCATTAGGGCAGAACCACCAGGTGAACTGTCCCCTGCTCAGGATCCTGTGCTTTCACGGTCTGCATTTCCAGTATATACCTGCCAACCAGTCTGCCTCAGGGCTGGATCTAGAGTTTCAAATGCTCCCCTGACAAACTTGGGCAGGAATATTCCAAAACCAAGGATCCTGGAAGGTCTGGTTCCTGTCTGTGGGGCAATGCACTGGGAGTTCTGTCAGAATCCTGCTTGGATTTGACTAAAATTCATGATACCCAAGATGGTTCAAATGAAATAATTTAAGTTTAATGAACTGGCTTGCAGATTTGGACATAATTTGGGGAGAAAACTGAAGGATCAGTTCTTATGAACAGAAAAATGAAAAGGAAAAAAAAATCCAAAAGCTGCTAACTCCACTCTTCAGAGCAGTTGTAACTGCTATTAAAATAGTCTAATACAAAAAAACAGAAGCACATTTAATACATGGAATTCATCCATGGCTCATGACAGCACTAGAGGACTAGATCATGACTCCAAGGAACTTCAAAGAGAACATTAAAAAGGTATCTGAAACCCCCTCTACATATTACATGCATTACCTGGGTAATTGTGAAATTAATTTAGACTGACTACATGTGCAAAGTAACTAGCATACCTTTAAAAGATCCAACCAGCTACAAAATCAAAGATGGAAAATATGTAACAATTTTGTAACTGGTTTTTATCCAGCTTTAATTTGAACAAGTAGCATAGCTATGCCCTTGTGGCTTGGAGCCCCATCATCTGACGGAGCTCCCAGCAGTGCACCATGCACTGCTGCAGCTGGGAGTCCCACAGCTGATGAGACCTCCAGCCATGGCAGCACCCAGTGCTTGTTGCTGGGAACAACAGACAACAATGAATCTGGCAGCAAGAAAAATGATGACTTGGTAAAGTAGCACAGAATCCCCAGGGATTTCTGTTCTGGTGCCCTGCTTGCCTGCCCCTCGTTACACTGCTGTTTTCTCATCTCTTCAGGGGCGCTTATATTATTATTTTTGGGAGGGCAGGGGCTAGAGAAGCTGAGCTGGAAAGATGCCTTTTTTTATATTTCTCATTTCAATACAAGTTTCAATCTGAGTACCAAGAAGAAGAAACTGTTTATGTAGTCAGCTTAAAAACAACTTAAATCCTCCTTTCCCAAAGACAAATCCAGCTATATGGGTTTCAATCCATCACATCAGAGAAAATAATCTGGAGGAAGCAAATTCCCCAAAACGGGATATTTTTGTCTTGAAGTGCCAGTGTCATTTTTGACCTGTAGAACTTCACCATAGTTTCCATGATTATTTCTTGTCTCCCCCTGGGAATTGCCTTTGGCAAAGCCAAGGCTGCTCCTATAATTCTGACAAAGAGTGAACAAAAAGACAATTCTTAGATGTAGAGTACAATGAACTCTTGAAAGACAACACAGTGCATTGTTCCCCCCAACCCTCCCAGCATTGTTTACATTGCTTTTCCTGGTAGGTGAAATAATGACAAAGGTCAATAGGTAACTGCCACAGCAGCCTCCTTGTACATCCCAGCCAATAGGCAACTGCCACAGCAGCCTCCTTGTACATCCCAGTTGCAGAAAGAAAGAACCAAGTTAGAATGGCAGCTAAGTTATGGGTTCAAGAGTAAAGAGTTCAGATCCTAGAGTCTGCCTGGCTCTGCAAGAGAGAAAAGACTTTTTCATCAAGTCACAAAAATGTCACAATATAAAAATGGCCCCTTTTAGTTGATTTTAGAGATCTTAATCTATTTTTGGTTTAACTTACCAGACAACCCTTCTTTTAGAAACAAAATCTCACAAAGGATTCAAAACGGACCAAGTAAAGTCTCCTTTCTGTACAATAAGCTGCCTTCCCAACCTCTACTACAAGGTGCCTCAGTCATAAATTGTAGGAGACCTTCTCTGTGAATTAGGCAAGTAAATGTACCCAGACACAAATATATATCCTTTCTTTGTAGTCAGTTAATTGGGGTAGTTTTCATTCTCCAACTTGATATATTTTTAGAACTATGAGGTTTACAAAGTATTACTTAAACCTTCTTGTGTGTATTCGCTCAATACAAGAACCTAGAAAAATAAAAAATCCACTCACAGCTGTAAAATTAGCTCCAGACTTCCATGTCCTGTAATATCACTTTGTGCATAGAAAACCTAATCCTGTTCCCTTTCCTACTGCATTGTTGACAAGATTAGGCAGGGTTTTGAACTAATCAGGATACATTTCCATCCTTTGATTTACTTGTTTTGAATCAGTTCTTTAACAATTTTTAAAGAAAATAAAATGTTCAGCCTATTTTAAATATAGTATTTTTAAGGGAAAGTATTATACACATTAGGAACTATTTGTATGGAAAGAGTTTAAAGTATAGTATTTGTGTAATTCTTCAAAATATAGGATGTTGACATTTGAGAGAAAACTAAGAAGTCTTACAGTTATTTTCTAGGACTGAGTAATAAAATTATCAATGAATGCATGTTCAACAAACCTAAAGTTTCTAAGATAAGTTTTGAAGACAAAAGAAAACTCAGCCATGCTGTACATGCCAAGTACCGATACAAAATTTATTGAAATATATACCTGAAAATAGAATAATAAATTAAATCTAAAATTCTACCAACAGGAATTCTCTATATTAACCAAAAAGTATAGTTATAGGAATAACATCACTTGATTATACATATATCACTATATACTATCTGTATCTGTATCTATATCTATATCTATAATACCAAACTTACCCATCAAATGCCTGGAGTTCACATTCTTTAAGTACTGAGAGAGCATGTCCTTTGTATTCAGTTACTATGGAAGATATTTCAAGCATTACAATACTAAAATATTGAAAAATAAATCACTCAACAACTTAACATACATTATTTAGACATGAACATTATAATAAAAGTATAAGTGAAAATGTATTCTTGATGGTTTATTTTCTGATCGTTAAATGTATTAAATAGCTTGAACGTTTCACAGCTTTATGAATGCAACAGTCAAATATCTACTCAGTTACGGTAATTTGTTACTGTACTGTATCCCATACACAGTCATTTTTTAATTTAAAGTTGGTGCTTTTAAATTCGTAAGACAAACATTATTTGTTTATAGATCAAAAATACAGGTTTCCATGCTGGCAAATTCTCAACAAAATTTAAGCCTATCTTCATTTAGACATAAATAATTTGAATACCAATAGCATTCATTTGGCTTTGCATAGAATATGCAAAACGCTAACTAAAAATATGAAGAGTTAAATATGGAAATGTGAAATAAAGCCAAATACCAGCAATAATAGCATAGAACATAGGGAGGAGGGTGGCATGAGTATACACCAGAGTCTGTAGCCTCTGGAGGAAATGAATCTGTCACTCTACATTGCTGTCTTTGTGGTTGTTCATGCCCTATGTGGTAGTGTAAATGCCAGTGAAGACAGGATGAACTGGCATACTACAGATGGCACAAATCATCATAACCACATTTAGCATTTTCTAGGGCAGCTTTGCCAGAAGAGACAGCCCAGCTGCATCCACCCATCAAAGATTTCTGCTGACTGACATGACACTTGCAGATGGATTTTTTGTGTAAGAATGTGCATCATTATATGCAAAATTACATTAATCTTTCATGCTTGTCTGTCCCTGGTGCTAGTATGGTTCAAGCCTTTTCTACAATGTTTCTAGATATTGTTAAAATTATTAGTCTTGGTGTCTAAAATAATCATTCCGTATCCAGCAGTATTATCTATCCCCACATTATAATGTACTACTTTTGTAGACCACCCAGATGCTGCTGACAAGAATGAAAAGCTTTAAACCAAAGTATATTTAATGCTTATGTTCTTCAACATTAATACATTTTGAAAAAAAAAAGATTTTTCATATTAAACAATTATAGTAATAGAATGCACATCTGCAAAAATCTACAATTTAGTATTCTTAATGAATTTTCACAGTATCACGTTTATATGAACTACAAACTATGTTAGCATATCTTGGGAAAGTTTGAAGCTATCGTGAAATCAGAGCTACTGCATTTATAATTCTGGTATTTGCAGAAGCATATAACATGTTGTAACTAAAAAAGTGTAGGTCTACATGGTATATGGCAGCTCTGTCCAAACATACCCAAACTAGCACTTTATGCACTAGCTTCTGAACCAGAAGTAGCTTAACCATGTTCACCTGGCAGGCTGCTTGGGCTAATAGTTCCTGCTGCGAAACAGAGCTAACTCACTTGGGAATGTAACCACACACATGCAGCTATACCATTCCAGTGCAGAACTAGCTCAGCTCTCTGCATGGTACTATATGATACTGGGTGAATATATTTAGCAATTTCCAAAATTTTTCACAAAACTGGATTCATGTAGAAGTGTTTTTAGGCAAGGGAAAGCCTTTAATATTAATGTATTATTGTATTCAGTTCTCTGTCCTTATATCCTTATAGCAACAAATAAAAATTTTGTAAATACATTGCTTTTTGTGCAAAGATTTTTAAAAAAAGAATGTAACGTAAGAACTACCATTTACTGGGTTAGACCACAGGTCCATCTTGCCTAGTACCCTGTGTCACACAGTGGCAAAGAATGGATGCTGAAAGGGATCCACTGAAAGGCTATACCCAGGGTTTTTACCACAGTTCCTCTAGCACTTGCAGCCTCCAGCATTTAAGGTCTAGGATAGTGGTTCCCAATGAGTGGTACGCAGACAACCTGTCAGTGGTTGAAAGGGATCCACTGAAAGGCTATACCCAGGGTTTTTACCACAGTTCCTCTAGCACTTGCAGCCTCCAGCATTTAAGGTCTAGGATAGTGGTTCCCAATGAGTGGTACGCAGACAACCTGTCAGTGGTACGCAGCAGCAGGTGGAGGCGGGGGCACTCAGGGAATTCGTGCCCAGTGCAGGCACCTGGTGGGGCATGGCTCCGGCCTCACACACACTGGGCATGGGAGGGAAACTCTGTGCACTGGAGCCAGCTGCCTTGCCCACCAGGGTTGTACAGCACACGAGGGAAGCCACAAGCACTTTCTCCTAGGGGAGGCAGCCAGCTCCAGTGCACAGGGCTTCCCTCCCATGCCTGGTAAGTGTGGGGAGCTCTGGCAATAGAGACTACCCAGTGGAGGATGAGACTCTCGTTGCAATGTGCCGTGCTGGTCAAAGCTGCACCCCACTGGGCACCCTGAGCACTCCTGCCTGCTGCTGTGCCATCGGGGGAATCTGAGGGGATTCCCACACCCCCCACCCTCCCTCACACCTCACAATCCCCACACACCTGCACTCTACCCCTGCAACCCCCCACATATATACAACCCCACAACATACCCTATGCTCCCCCACACACACAGCCACACCCCCTCACAAACCCCCCACACACCTCTACCATACACACCCACCCACACCCCATCTGGTGGTACTTCAGGTTGTATTGTTTTAAACTGGTGGTGCACAATCAGTCAGAGTTTGGGAACCACTGGTCTAGGAATTTCTGATTCAGAAGCTGTACCCTTAATTCCCATGCCCAATAGCTACTGATGCCCCTTTCCTCCAGGAATTTGTCCAATCTCTTTTAAATCTGGTTAAACTGTCAAATGTTGATCATTAGTATAATAAATATCCGAAGTGCAGGCTGACTCTATGGGCACATCCAAAAAAGTACATATGTGCAGTTTGAGGTGCCACAAACTATAAATGCTGCACATGCAGGCATTTGCCGCACTGCTAATTTGCAGTGCACCAGGTTTTTTTGACCTGGTGTCAACAACAAAAAAATGAACCAGAAAAAAGCAGGGTGGCCCATGTGGTAGCAGCATGGTCCACCTAAAATCAGAGGCTGGCTGGCTACAGCTATGCTGTGACAGCTGAAAAGTGTGCCTGTGTGATAAAGGTGCTTGCTGAAGGCTCTATGAAAATTAGAACAAGTGTTTTTCTGTATTTGTTTAGATATTAAGCTATATGTTGTTGCTAAAAGGCTAATTAAAGTCTAAGATGTAGTGAGGCCTTGTATAAAGTAAGGCCTAGTACATTTAGCAAAGCCTTGAAGTAGAAAAGCCCAGTGGCATAGTTAAAATTACCTTATCAAAGGAATGCAAAGCTTGTACTGCTATTGGTCCGTCTAAGGACAGTTGAAGTAAAAGGAATCTGAGTGGTTGTATGTTATCAGAACCATTCAGAAGCTTTAAATTGCCTAGGATATCTAGAAACCATTCAGAAGGAAGATACAGCTCTGTGAAAAGGATTAGTTAGCTGTTGCCTGGATCAGTGGGCCTGTGGACCTTGAGGAGCCCAAGCACTGCATTCCAGGGTCCTTCCCCGTACCCTCCGGACAGCACTGTTCAGGGACTCCTGACTTCGCTGAACTTTGTGAAAAGAGAAGCTTGCTATGTATCAGAGGGGACTGCCGATAAGTTGCCAAAGTGAATTGCTTTTGTATGTCATTGTTTGTTTTGTTACTACGCGTAGTTGTGTTTTTGTTAAGTCAATAAATCTTTCTTACCTTTCTACCCCGGACCACACTCTCAATCCCTGAACCCTCCGCAGGCGGCTGGGACACTATGCTCCAGCTGCCAGCCAAGCTCCGCACACCCAGACTGCCGCTGCTGTTGGTGCTGGCCCCAGTCTCCCCTACCCTATCCAGGGCAACTTGCCACACACCAGAGTGCACATGCAGGGATGTTGTCCCCAGGGAAGTCCGCTGCTTGTATCTATTATCACTAATTGAAATCATTCGTGCAGCAGTTTGGACTCTCACGTGAGATGCAGAAGTCGTGACAGCACCGTTGTGGAGGAAGTTTTGCTGACAAGCACCAACAGAGTGTACCTCGGTCTTGTTGGCCTTGGAGCCAAAGGTTGTGAATCACCCAGTAAGAGATGCGATCCAGCAATTAGCGCAGCTTCTACCCATTTTGCAGAAGCCAAGGCTTACCAAGCTGACGGAAACTGCCAAGGCCATGGCAGTGGCCTCAGCGAAAGATAAACCCCCTGACCCCACGAATTGTTAAGAAAAGCCAAGAAAGGCCGGCCCAAGACTCCGCAAGCAAAAATGTGGAAACACTTGTTAGCTGCCTGTTACAATGAAGTGCAAATCAATAGACTGCCCTCCAGTGTCTTGAGAGAGCTGAGGGCTAAACACTGTACCAAAAAGGCAAGACCAAAAGCAGAGCCTTCTGCACCACCAACAATGTCACCAGAGAGATTCTCTGCCCTGAGGGCAAAACTGTCAACATTTTCCTAGGCACATGCGGGGCCACCAGCCTTTACCCTGCCTGACCACATGGCCTAGGGAGTCCGGCCAGCCCAACCCCCAATGAAAGAAGCCACAATGCGGGTAGTAGCAGGCTGAGGACCAGTATCTAAAGTTAATATTGGCCTCTTAATTCAGATACCTGTACAGTTTCAACTAAGTAAAAGTAAAAAGTCAATTAATATGCTATTAAACACGGGTGCTCAGATTTGCATTTTAAATTCCGCAGATTGGAAGGGGGAGAAAGGAACCCCTTATCTAGTAATTGGAGTCGGAGGCACCAGACGACCAGGACATCTAGTCCGAGCAACCTTCGCATTACCCAATGGCTCTAAGGTAACAGCGGCCGCAGTAATACTTAAAGGGGAACCAAGCTTACTGGGACTTAATGTACTAAAAAGACAGCGATTTGCCCTTGAACAAAAATTGGCAGTTTGAGTGCGCAGTGCTTCACCAAGAACGAGAAGAAACAGCTATAACACCTGTAACTCGATGTAGCATGATCCCACTAACCCTGCTTCCCATAAAAGGAGTACACAGACCCCAGTATCGAACTCTCCCCA